CCCCAAAACCCCAAAACCCCAAAACCCCAAAACCCCATGACCTAAGAATGATTAGAGAGAAAGTGAAATGAAGCTGGAGTAGAATTAGAATTATCCGTTAATAATTAAATCAATCAATATAAATTATGTAAATTGATAACTAAGACCTTCAGGAAACACTCCTCTCAAAGGAACAGTTCCCACTCAATAAGCTTTAACTCAAGTAATTACTATCATACTTCCAAATTTATTTATTTAATAAAAATTCTAGATCCATATTTGATTGTTACTGCTAGCGATAAGAGAAGCAGGATGGACAGGAAGACTCAAAAGATTAAGAGAAGGCTAGATAATTGAGTAAACTCAATGAATTCGGAGGCACAAAATCAATCATTGCTGCACTTAAAACTGACTAATTCGTATGCCTAACCATTAATGAATCATTGATTGACTTATTAATAGAATGGTTTGAATTCAAGGGATGTGAAGGACTTGTAAAGTAGGAAAGATAGGTATGGTGAGAATAAGAAAAAAGATGTATAGCCAACATCTATATTCACTCTGGTAAGTCAAGAAAATAATACTGAATGCTTATTTATTTAGATTATTGAACAATTTGAGGATGAAATATTGAGATTGCTACTTATTGCTGCTACAGTGTCTCTAGGTATTGGCATTTGGAAGGAAGGTCTAGCCAAGGGATGGTATGAAGGAGTCACTATATATCTGGCTATCCTCATTATCGTATCAATCACAGCCACAAATGATTATATGAAAGATAAGCAATTTAGGAAACTCAATGATGTCAGAAAGGAGCACTTTGTTCTGGTCAGGCGCAATAATCATACATAATCCATTTCAACATTCTAATTGGTTGTTGGTGATATTGTTGAACTCAAGTAAGGAGATGTCGTCCCTGCTGATTGTATACTGATAGAGGGAGATGATATGATGACTGATGAAAGTAGCATTACTGGTGAAAGTGAACATATCAAGAAATATGCACAAAATGGCACATTTGACAAGCCAGGTCCAGCCAAAAAGCTTCCCAACCCATTCCTTTTGAATGATTCCTTAGTTGTCTTAGGTAAAGGATTAGCAGTAGTATGCGCTGTGGGAGTCAATACATAAACAGGAGAGGTCGAGGAAAAGTTATTCTAAGATGATGAGGAAGGAACTCCACTGCAGTAGAAACTTGAAAGAGTAGCGAATTTCATTGGTAAAGTAGGCATGTATGTCGCCCTAGCCACATTTGTTGCTATGACTATCAATTTAATTCTTTCAAGACTGCTTTCAAACTAACCAATACTTGATATCGTTGTGACTAAAGGAGTAGTGAATGCAATTATTGTAGCTATCACTATTATAGTTGTAGCAGTCCCAGAAGGTTTGCCTTTAGCAGTGACAATAAGTTTAGCTTACTCTGTTAATCAAATGAGAAAAGAAAATAATTTGGTCAGAAGACTAGAAGCAGCAGAGACTATGGGAGGCGCTAATGAGATCTTGACTGATAAGACAGGCACTCTTACCTAAAACAAAATGTCAGTCATATAAGTATACACTGAGGGTTCCATTCATGGCTCAATTGAAAGTGTTTCTCTCAATACTTAGGAGCTTATTCTTAGATCATGTGCTTTAAACTCAAATTCACATCTTATCATCGACGATAAAACCTATTAGGAAAAGCGTGTCGGCAATCAAACTGAATGTGCCCTACTAGACTTTGTCAACAAATCTCTTATCAAACTAAGCAAACCTGAGTAAGGCTATGAATCTATTAAGTCCTAGAATAAAGTTATCAAGATGTACCCTTTCAACAGTACCACAAAGAAAATGACTGTAGTTGTAGAAACTGAACATCAAAAGAAAGTTAGAATATTTACCAAGGGAGCTTCTGAAAATATACTTGAAGACTGCATCAAAGTTATTGAAAACGGTGGAGAAATAAAGCCATTAGACCTGTAAATGAAGAGCAACATCAAGAATGAGGTTATCAAGAGAATGGCTCAGAGTGCTTTGAGAACTATTGCAATGGGTTATAAGGACATGGACTATTCTGACTTTATAATTCTGAGGGACAGACTAGAGGAAAAATTAGACTAGGAGTAGAGTTAAGAGGATGAAGAATTGAATCATGAGAATGATGATGTGCTAGATTCATCAGAGAAAATATCACTAGATAGAGATTTGACTATGATTGGAATATTTGGAATAAGAGATATCATAAGACCATAGATTAAAGAGGCAGTTTTAAGATGCCAATAGGCTTAAGTAACTGTAAGAATGGTAACTGGAGATAACTAAGACACTGCTGTTGCTATTGCCAAAGAAGTAGGAATTCTTCCATTTGACAACGACTCTGAGAAATACGCTCCTTCAAGGTTTAGAGTAATGACTGGCGTTGATTTTAGAAAGCATTGCGGTGGTTTAAGAAAAGATGAAATCGATGGAGAGGAAAAGGAAGTTATTAGTGATATCCATGCATTCAGAGAAATAGTAAAGGAGCTCAGAGTTCTGGCTAGATCTACTCCTATGGATAAATATATACTCTGCCTTGGCTTGAAGTAACTTGGAAATGTAGTGGCAGTCACTGGAGACGGCACCAATGATGCTGCTGCTCTTAAGAAAGCTGATGTTGGGTTCGCTATGGGTATTGCTGGTACTGAAGTAGCTAAAGAAGCAGCAGACATCATTCTTTTGGACGATAACTTTGGATCACTAGTGACCTCCATCAAATGGGGTAGAAACGTCTATGATAGCATTAGAAAGTTCCTGCAGTTCCAGCTCACTGCTAATTTAGTTGCTATGTTTATGGCTCTTGTTGGAGGTATATTCTTAGGAGACTCTCCAATGAACTCAATCTAGATGCTCTGGGTTAATCTTATTATGGATACCTTTGCAGCCTTAGCACTTGCAACTGAACCACCTAAGCCTGATATAATAAAGGGCAAACCCTACCCAAAGAACGACAGCATTGTGACTCCTATAATGTGGAGGAACGTTCTAGGTTAGTCCTTCTTCCAAATCTCAGTTCTTACCCTATTCTTATTCAGAGGGGAGTACATTTTAGGCACTCAGACTAAATCCCCTGACGAAGAGTGGAACTATCAGAACGGACTTCAAAACACCATAATCTTCAACACATTCATCTTCATGCAGGTGTTTAATGAGATCAACTGCAGAAAGATTCAAGCCTCAGATTTCAATGTCTTTGCCAGCTTCTTCAACAACCCAATGTTCTTCTTAATTATGATCATCACGGTGGCTGTCCAGATTCTCCTAGTCTAGTACGGAGGCGAGGCTGTCAAATGTGTCCCTCTAAGTGTAGAATAGCATGTATTCTGTACCGTTATTGGCTCATTGTCCCTAATAGTAGGATTCTTTGTTAAGTTCTTGCCCCTTGAAATGTTTGAGATATTCCAACTTAACGAGGAGCCACTTAAGACTGAATAGGAAAGAGATCAGGCTTTCAAGAGTTCACTTAGAAAGTCAAGAAGTATCTACAGAATGTCATCTAAAAATCTCAATGCCTCTAGAGAGAGCAGAAAGGGCAAGACTAATAACAAAAAACTCAGCTCTAAAAATCTTTGATACATATCAAAGACAATGATTTGTTTACTATTTTACTTTTTAAAAGTTTATAAGTTACTAATTGAAATCATATCACTTATTATGGGGTTTTGGGGTTTTGGGGTTTTGGGG